TGTCAAAACACAGGCCCTCAGCAGCAGGCCAGGGACAGACCCAAGGGTCTGCATTTCCGACAAGACCCCAGGGGTCTGGCCAAGGCTGCTGCCTACAGGCCACACTTCGAGCAGCAAGGTGCCAGGGGACTAGGACACCATCAATTGATCTCCAATGGTTAAAAAAAGAGAAAAAAGGAAAAAAGGATATTACGTGCAGGAAGACAGACTAGAAACCACCAATGCTGAAAAGTGGTTTCTTAATAGTAAAAACTTCAAACCAGCTCACGTATCTGTGAGCAGAGAACTGGGTAAGCACATGATGGTCTCCTCACATGACAGAACACTCTACACAACCATTAAGAACAGGAGAGGTCTGCATGAGTCATTTGGAAAAACTGCCAAGATGTATCATTGAGTGAAAAAGGCAAGTCCAAGCAGAGCAAAACACCCATAGCATTTGTCAGAGAAAAGTTTTATGTATGTAAAAGATTATTTTTAAAAGTTCAGGAACATCCTCTGGGGACTGAACTACAGGGCACTCACTCTCTCACCAGACATTTAAAGTTTGGGAGGTTTTATTTTTACAATGAGCAGATATAACTCTTATAATCAGAATAACAAAGATGATAGCTTTGTTCTAAGAGTGTTTCCCGCAAGCGAATGTGGCTATCAGGTTTGGACAAGAACAGTTCTAGGGCTAATGTCATACACAGAGAGAAGTTCCTCAAGGGCCACAGTCACCATACAGGATCTGACCCCTAGACTAGGGAGGGAGGAGCATATGATCTTAGAAAATTCTAGAAACAAACAGATCATTTGTGGGTAACCGGGGAATCCACTGATCCTCGGGGTTACTGATTCTTTCTCCAGGAAATCACACAAGACCAACCTCATGTCCCTTTCTGATCAGCTCCTGGATAGGGACACGGGAGGGTGTGGCAGGCACAGCAAGGCATCTGGCGCTAAGATGGAGATGGAATGACTGCACGGCTGTGGGAACAGCCAGGCGTAAGAAGCTACTCCATGTGATGTGTTTAAAAGGGAATTCTATGAAGCCTTACATGCCTGTCAAACGAGAGGCCACAGCAAAGTGGGGGAGGCAGCTAGTCCGATAGAGCACAGGGCAGGGCAGCAAGAGCACCTGGGACCAGGGCCCACTCACCCCATTCTCACGCCGGCCACGCGTCCTCTGGGAACGGCGCAGGTACAAACGGCAATGGCTCTTCTTTGAATTCATCGTAGGTTAGAAAGGAGACTGCCAACTGCTCTGCACCCTGACTGTGCTGGTGTCTTTCTGCTCCGCCTTTGTCAGGCATTCACAGAACTGGACACCAACTTGTGCTATGTGCCAGTTTTAACAAGCCAGCTACAGGAATTAGGCTGGAACACCTGGCAGCACAGTGCTGCAGAGAGGGCTGAGCTGAACACACACACACTCGTCTGGTACACCTGGCTACCCACTGTCCCCTGGCCCACTCAGATAACATCTGCCCTGGAGGTGTCCTTCTGGAATAGAGCACAGTACATGGGGGATAAACACCACTCCATCTTCCACCAGTGTGACTACTTCTGAATTTGCAATCTGAAGTTCACCAGCATCTCTCAACAGGTGGGGCCCCAAATGCCACCCTGCAAGTAGCACTGGCCGATGCTGAGCAGGGCAGAGCTGGCGCCTACAGCCTCCAGTAGAGGGCGGTAATGCTCACAAGCCTGGGCAGCAGCGCTGCCACTGAGTCCTGCTAAGCAGCAGTAAAGCACAGCCCCAAGTCTTCCCCCGATCCTGCTGCCCCCGTCTCCACTGCCCTTTACGAACCCATGTTTGCAAATGCATCCGTGTTAAACACTCTCGTCTCGTTCCAGTCGGTCTCCTCAGTGAACACGTCTAGATGGCGTGGATCCTGAGCAGCAGCTTACCTACCCAATGTTCAATTCCTCCCAGAGCCTGCTTCTCCCTGCATCTGCTGGCCACGACAAAGGTCCTCAGCAGAGATAACACTGAGCAGGCCAGGCGTGGAGTGCAAGCTCCTGGGACCTCTGTTTGGATGGAGCTGATCCATGCAGCAGCCACTCATGGAGTAAGGACCCTGCCAACTACACTATCATGCCAAAGCCCTACCTGCACTTCAGCATCCAGTCCACAAGCATCAAATCAGAGGCTGGCAAACATTTTGCTGAAAATCCATACATGCTATGGACAAAAGGCAGGGATAAGACTGACAGAACCTGTTTCCTAAGAATTCACAGTAGTTGCCAATGATCGCTCTCTCTTCTCTGAAAGCATGCAAACTACTTTTTTCTAGAATACGGTTAGAAATCAAAGTCAGAGCAGACCCTCTCCTTCAGCTATTTCCTCACCTACACTCTCCCTCCTTTGGAAACTGGGATGCTTGCCCGTCTGCAGTCTTCCAGAATTATCTCCTACCCGGCAATTCCGCAAGGACTGGCAATTCTATCTGCAAATGATCTCAAGAGCCTCTGGACATAATTTCATCAGTCCAAGCAGAAACTAAGTCACCTGGAGAAGCAGGGCACAACACTATTCCCCTGCCCACCTGAAATTTCAGTTCTCTCCTCATCCCAGTGCTTCCTTTCCCTGTTTCCTTACTTTGCACAGAAATACCAAAGGGACTGACAGTCTCGTCCCTATTCTTAAAGCTCGCTGTGCATTTCTGCTGCAGTCCTCAGTTTCCTTTCCGCCCTTCCTACCACTTGCAGATGGACTCAGAACTCTTTTGTCTCAGACTACATGATCATTACTTCTCTTTTGGAACTTCCCGAAACCCTAAAACTCTAGGTATGTTCCACTCCCTCCTAGCCATCTCACTTCCTGACACTCAGAAGTCTGAAGACAACATGCCCGCGTATCAGTTCTGTGATGAAACACATCCCCTTGGAAAGCCCTTTCCACGTCCACTCCCTGCCACTTTCCAACTCTGATCCAGAGAGGCCAGGCTCACCTGGGCAACTGACTTTTTTTCTAAAAACCTGAAAGCCAGACAGCCATTCCAACGCCTAGTGAAGAAGGATGTCCAGGTGACTAGAGGTAGTGAGACCAGCCCAAGAACCCACACTGACCCTGCTTCTGAGTAACCTCATGGTGAGCTTCTTCCCAATAGCTCCAGAATCCCTCGGCCTGAGCATAATGTCTTATTCCCTGCCAGTCAGCACCCTTGACAACAGCCAGCACCTGAACCCCAACTCCGGCCTGATCAGAACCCCCGTGAGCAGAAGGCAGCAAACCAGCCCCCAAGCTCCAACAGACCACATACTCCTGTGACTGACAGGTCTACATCTGGGAAGACCCTGGGGACAGGGTCAGTCTCAGCCCCTTGGTGCCATTTCTGCCCACTCTTCTCAGGACAGGACCCCATACACAAAGAGCCCCTATTCAATTGGTCCCTTTTACGCGGGGCTGCAAAGGGCCTCTTCCAGAGGCGGGAAACACCTGGCACTGACTTCACTCTACACACAGAGAGGGACCCGTAACACGTTTACCCTAAAAGAATGTGAGGCCTGTTATGGCACAGCCGAACTTGGTCTTCTGACCTTCTGGTCAGCCCTCTCCCACCTCCATGCAGCCTCTGGAGGTCAGCATAAAACCAGGACGTCTCTGGAAAAACTGTATGGTTCCCCTAACAGAGACAGGGCCTCCAATTCAAGGCCACAGACTTCGACTGAGGAGTCGAAGTCACAGGCCAGCCCACAGATCCCTTTCACAGCCCCTCACCCTCCCCACTCACAAGGACAGGAGCAAGGAAAAGCCAGCAATGTAGAGATTCCTCTGGGCGCGGAAGAGCTTCATGTGGAAGTGCTCCACAGCCCCGGGGTTGTTCTGGAGGTTCACCCTCTCAGTCACGCCGTCATACTTCCAAATCTCGCGCACAGCATCTGTGGCAGGGCGGAAAAGACACACAGGCGTTTAGCCCCACTCAGACAGGACCAGGCCGTCCACGTGAGACAGAAGCCTGAGTCGCATCAGCCTGGCTTTGCTAAATCTGTCCCCCGTTACCCACTTTTACACACCTTGGGGGATGCCTTGTAGGAAGCTCCGCCCTCAGACTGGCGCACTCCTCCAGCTTTTCTCACATCACTGCCGGGCCCGTTCTACCCAGGCCACCAGCTTGCTCCCCCGTCAAGATGCTAACCCGATCTGAGACATTCCTAGCAATGGGGGCAGCTCCCCTTTCCCATGGTGCCCCCAACGTCTGGTTCTATTTATCTCAAACTGGGCTAGCCATCGGCCACCCTACTGAGAAGCCAGGGTAGTCCTGTTTATAGAAACGCTTGCTAAGGAGGCACAAGCCGCCTGGGCGTCAAGACTGGGAGAATGCCTGCTAAAAATTCAAGGGTTTTCATTTCTAAGCTTTGTGAAAGATTTTATTGTTTAAACTGTTTTTGCGGCAGTGGGGTGTACCTCAGTGGTAGAGCACATGCCTAGCATGCACAAGGTCCTGGGTCCAATCCCCAGTACCTCCATTAAAAAGAAAAACGTTTTATTCTCATTACAAAAGAAATTAACACTCAAAGGTTCAAACATACCAGAAATGCAGCAAGAGAATCTCATCACATGATCACCTCCAACAGAACAGGCAACATGTGGCCAGCTTAGCTAAAGCACTCATTTTCAGTCCCATTACCGAAGGTTATTTTCTTTGTAATGTACAAATCTGGAACTACCCAGATTACAGGTTTATTGTCCATGCCCTCCCCCAATTAGACTACAAAGGCGGAAATCTCTTCTATACACCCCCAGGGCCTAGCACGGTTCTGGGCGTGCAGGGGGCACATGAATACTTGCTGACAGGCAAACAGCCTGTGCCTGCCGTACAGTGCTCCGCTTCACACGGACGTTCACATCTGTGCGTCTTGTCCACAGAGAAGAAATGGAACCATCCCAAAACTACTGCTTCCCACCCCAACCCTGAGATGTCCTTTTTTTCTTGATTGAAGTACACTGATTCATAACATTATGTAAGCTCCACGCGTACAACACTATACTTCTGTATACCCTACAGCGTGCTAACACAGAACACTTCACAAATCTGCACATCGTCCTTGTGCAGGGGGCATACTAATCATCTTTGTATCATTCCAATTTTAGTATATGTGCTGCCGAAGCGAGCACCTGAGATATCTTTTTAAGTCCATATGCCAAGATCTACCTAAAGAGGGCTCTTAATGGACCAACGTGGAAGAGGGGCAAAGTACGGCTGTATGGGTATTGTTTAGCTCTTAATTTCTGGTTTGAGACTGCTTTTTTAAGCTGATCTTACATTAGGCAAATCTGCCTCCCCTCACTGGTAGCTTTGTGTTAAATCTGAATCAGGAAGCAAGCACTCTCCCAACACTGTTATCAGGGATATAAACCAGGACAACAGTACTTGTTATGGACTGCATGTTCCTGGTCCCCCAAACGCCTACATTGGCATCCTATAGCCCCCAATGGGATGGTATAGGAAACGAGGCCCCTGGGAGGTGATTAAGTCAGGAGCACAAGGCCCTCGTGAGTGGGATTCCTGTCTTTAGAAAACAGACCCCAGAGAGCTCCCTTGTCCCTTCCTCCATGTGAGGACACAGCGAGAAGGCAGCCATCTATGTACCAGGAAGAAGGCCCTCACCAGACACTGAATCTGCCCGCACGCACCTTGATCTTGGACTTCCCGCTTCCAGAACTGTGAGAAGTAAGTACCTGTTGTGGAAGCCCCTTGTCTGTGGTACTTTGTTATAGTAGTTCAAACTAAAACATAAGATTTTAAACGTTCATATGCTTGGAGTCATCAACTCCACCGCTCTGAATTTATCCTACACGATTTGCATATATGTGCAATGATATGAGGATGCCTATAAGGAATGAATTAAATTACACTCTAACCACATGATAAACCACTACACAATCAATGAGACTGCTGTAAAAAAAAATGTGTACGATACAGTTTAAGTGGAAAAAGCACAATCCAAAACAGTGTGCACTGTGATCTGAATCCAAGCCAAAACAGTATGTACTATTTTAACGAAGATGTCAGTATAGAAAATGTCTGTGGAAATATTACACGAACTCTTAATGACAGTTACCTATGGGACGTGTGATTACAGGGGACTTTAACTTAATAGGTTAAACTTGTGAGTTGTTAAAGATGTATTATTTTTGTGATTGAAAAAATAAACAAACCCCCCCATGTTTTCTCATACTGCCTTCTGCATCCAGAAACCCCAGCACCTTAAGGACCACCTCAGCTGATGGCATAGAGCAGACTGGGGGTGGGGGCGCTGAGCCAAACTAGCCAAGTCACCCAGCAGAGTGCTGCCCTGCATCAGGCCCCCAGTCCAGGACAACTGACCCTGGACCCTCATCAAGGCCATTCCCCAGTCAGATATGTCCCAGGGCCCTCCCACTGAAGGCTAGGGGCCAGCCCCAGCCAGGGCTATAGCTTCTACCTGGTTATGTTCTGCCACTAGTATCTGCTACTGGCTAACACATATAGACAGAAGCCTCTGCAGGCCTCTCTCGCTTATGCTTTTTACCATTAGGACAGGAAGCAGCCTGTCATCACAGCAGAATTGTCTCTCCAGAACTTCCGAGCAGTCCCCTAACCCCAAAAAAGAAGAATGGGTTCTGACCCACTCCACCATACTAGGAAATGGAGAGCTTGTGGAATCTGGTTTGCAGAGGGGCAAGGCCCTGAGTGAATACCCCCAGCATGGTCCCTCCCCACCCAAATTCTTCCCCCCCACCAAAATCAAAAGCATATACACTTGGTTCCAGAACTCTGCAGCCTGGCTTTTCACACTCAGGGGAAGACGTGCATATTCCCCATCTGCTCTGGACTCAGAGGCCACTCAGAGAGAAAATCCTGATCGGAAAGAGCTGCCTCTTGGGGCTTTGGCAGGTATTTCAAGAACAGGGAGGTGTGTGGGCAGCTGGCATCCACTCTACACAGCTGGGAATGGAGAGGCCACACTTTGCCTGTTCAGAGGCAGCCCTGCCTGAGCATATCCCATCAGGCCCCCAGACATGAGGAGAAAAGCCTAATGCTGCAGCTGGTGGGTGGGGCCATACACATTCCCCTGAACTATGGCCCCCTGGCTTCCCACCTCCTGCCACATTTCTGCTGGGGGCTCAGGGAGAGGGGACTGCTCTGACCCTAAGCAGGCATCAAATCTTGGAGACAGGATTGCTGTCTGTAGCAGAGCTGAGCCAACACTTTGGAGTCTAAACAGGGGGACATATTGATCACTCACCACAATAAAACGCATTTAACAGACAGATGAGAGCTGTATTGATTCCTCTGGTTTCTAAACAATCCCCAGCCCCATCCCTGTTTATCTTTCAAGCCCCTGCTGGTGTGTACCTCAATGCAGGATTTATAGAGCTCCAGAGCTGGAAGGACTTGGAAAGACCTGAAGTCAGACCCAAATCCAGAGAGATCTGGGATTTGCCCCCTAGATATGCTACCTCTCAGGCCCCCCATGCTATAGGACATGGTAGTTTCCCTCCCAGCTAGGTTCCTTGTCTACTTGGTCGCTCAGTCCCCCTATTCGTGGCCTGTTTCAGGCATTGAGGGAGAGACTGGTGCTGCTAAGTGCCTGGAAAGCGGCGCTACTTAGACCCAGGTCAGCACGGGCCAGTTAGCTTCTCTTGTTTCAGCTCTGGAACGATCTGAGGTGATCATCACAGGGCGCATAAAGGCTGCTGGTCAAAGTCAAGGCCCTGCCAGCAGTCAGCAGCACCATCTCTGTGGATAAAAGGAGCCTCTTCCCCCAAGAGAAAGACAGGAGCACTTAAGTGGTCTGCCTCTGAGAAGCCAAAGGTGTACACTACTCAGGGAACGTGGCATGGGGCTTTGCAACAGAGGTCACCACAAAGGGTCTAGGCCAGGTAGCTGCCCCCAGCCACAGCTCACTCACCAATGACCAGCAGCACGAGGATGACAATGAGAACCACAAAGAAGGTGTTGCCATAGCTCACCACCAATTCCACAAGGCGGGACTTGAAAATCTTCTGCCATCTGTGAAGAAGAGAAAAAGGCTAAGGCCTGAAGAGAAAGAACACATACTTTATTTATTTATTTATTTTTGGAGGTACTGTGGATTGAATCCAGGACCTCCTGCATGCTAAGCATGTGCTCTACCACTTGAGCTGTACCGTCCGCCCCAGAACACACACTTGGGATCCAGGGCCCTGAGAACAGACATCATTTCACACTCTTCTCCAATGGCCACATACCCTACACAGATTCAGCCTTGGCTGCCTGCAACTTTCTAATTTTTGACATCCATTCAAGAGTGTTATAAAGGAAAAAAAAAAGCACGTCTGTGCATAGGAATTTCTAGAAAACCAGTCTTAAAGACTGGTAGTCTCTGAGAAGGGAAACAGGAAACTTATTTTCCCCTATATAGTACCAAAATGCTTGGTACTATTTTTTTCTTTAAATTGTTTCTTTAAATTGTTTTCCCATGTGACCAATCCTGGTTCATCTAGACTCCCACCACCCCAGATTATTATGAAGCAGACCCCAAACTTCCCTTCATTTCCCTCCACAAATACTTCAGGATATAGCTCTATCAGAGAAGAGCCTTAAGAAACGGTTAACACAATCACAACACCATCACCAGGCCTCAAGAAAATCAACAAGAATCCCTTTTTATCGGAGCCAGGATTCCAAAGTCCAATTGCTACAATTATTTTTTAATAGTTGGTTTGTTTGAATCCCAAGAAGATTCTGATTCTGCATTTATTTGATAAAGTATCTTAAATCTCTCTTACTCTGTAAGCTCCCCCCTTCTTGTGCCCTCGTGTTATCTCTCCCAATTTACTTTTGCAGAAACCAGGCTGTTTGTCCTACAAAGCTTCCCAGGTTGCAGCTCCAAGGGGCCTCTGTCTCTGCATTTCCTGTGAACTACATGAGGTACATGAGCAGATTTATATCTGGCTTTTGTCAAGAACATTTCTTAGGTGATGCTGTATACTTTGTATTCTATAGCATCAGGGGTCAGAATTTTTCATTTAAAAAGTTTTCCAAAAAATACCTGTGAAAACACAGCCTTATTCATCATGTTCTAATTTAAGTAAAAATGTTTCTTATATGTAATTAAAATCAATTTTCAATTAACTTTTCACAGGTTCTTGGTTCATTTAAAAGAAACATGGCTACAGCCTTCAGAGGCTGAGTAATGCTCATGAGGCCACTATGTACGCAATGCCAGTGCAACCGTTAGGACAGAAGTCAGCCAATCAACAACAACGCGACCCACAGCGCAAGCCTTCCAGATCCCACAATGCCATGCCCTGACCCCCAGGGACCCAACGGGAGGCCAGAGGGCATCATTCCCAGAACCATAACTAGGTCTTCTCCCCTTTGGGACATTCTGAATACCCGAAGGCAGAGTGCCCAGGAAAGGAACTCAGCAAGATGTGACAGAGCAGAGCTGTGGGGAGGGTTGGCAATAGTAAACACAACCCTTGCCACCCCCACCCGACAGGTTCTACTTGTTTCTGTCTGCCCCAATTCCAGGGTCCACCGACTCTGCATCCATAAGCTACAGAGCTCAGAGCTGGACAACAGCTGCCCACTTGCTTGCTTGCCTGCTTGCTCCACGGGGCATACCTTTTGGGAGAAATGAAGGGAATGCAGAGCAGCAGCACAGCAAAGACCTCTGCATAGAGGAAAGTGGCAACTGCAGTCCACTGCAGACTCATTCTGTTGCTAGAAGCTTTCCAATAGGGTGATGTGAGCTGGTTTCCTGAGAGCACAGAAGGAACAGGAGGAGTCATGAGAGCTGGGCAGTCATTCTACCCGGCCCCCTAGCACTTCACCTCAGAGCCCTGAAAGCACCTGCTGAAGCGGGCTCAACACAGCAGGGATGCTCGACCAATAGTGCTCAAAGGCCCGGCAGTCTGTGGGGCCTTCGGGATGTGAGTTAAGAAATCCAGAGTCACCTTTCCGACAACGCCTTTCCCCGTGGAGTTCAGGAGACTTCTCACACTTGTTTAAATGGAAAAGGGTTTTCAATGCAGAAAGTTACGTAGACAGGAGGAGGTTGTCGACATCCATCAGGCCTGCTCCCTTCCCAGCCCAGGGCAGCTAGCTGTGCGGCAGAGGCGCCCAGATCCCTGCCAGCCCCTGGCGGCACTTTTACTTCCTTCAAAGCCGCGGCGCCCCCATCCCTCCGGAGAACCAGGAGGGCCTTCCCTCCCCAGCCCTTCTAACGGGGCCCAGAGAAAATCAGCGACTCCTCCTGGGGCAGGAGCAGGAGCTAAAAGGCCTTCCTACTACCGCGTCTCAACTCCGAAGGGGTGGAAGGGCTCGGGGGACCTCAAACAGCCCACAAGAGCGACTCCTAGAGGACGGGAGTCGGGGCCAAGAACACACGCAGGTCTCGACCAAGCACCTCACGGACCCATCCAGAGAAAATTCTAGAAGAAGCTGTCTCCTCGGAACCCAGAGGAGCCCCTCCCTGCAGCCTGGGTCGCCCACAGCGCCTGCCCGGCTCCAGAGGACCTCCGACGTGGGCCCGACCCGGTACTCTCTCCCTAGTCCCACCCCGGCGGCTCCTCTGGGTGGACTTCGTCGTCGCCCCTAGCCCCCGGAGCCCAGCTCCACCCGCCGCCGCCCCGACTTCCCTCCGTCCGGCCCTGCCCCCGTACTCCACGCTCGGCCCTCGGCCCGGCGCCCCGGGCTCCGCCGAGACGCCCGCCGCTCCCCCTCATCGAGGAATCGGGGGACCTCGGCGGCCCGGTAGCCCAGCCAGGCGCGCGGGCCCGCTCACCAAGTTTCTCACAGCCACCGCGCACGCCTCGTCGCCGCCAAACTCTCCCACCACAACCCCGGCCCCGCCCCTTCCCCCAAGGCCGGAACCGGAAGCTCCCGCCGGGTCCCGTCCCGCCCCCAATCGCCGCGAGGCCCAGGCGGCTCCGCCCACGCCGCTTTCTGCCCCGCCCCTGAGCCGAGGCTAAGCCGCCCAGGACTGGGGAAGAAGCGGCGCCTAGAGCGCGCGGGGAGACGGGGCGGGGCCTTGGCGGAAAGGCGAGGTGCCGCTTCTCTAGCCCGCGCGGTCCTCCCACGTCTCTGTGGTCCGGGGAGGGGGCGGGGCCCAAGCATGGGGCGAGAACGGGGTGGGGCGCCCTGCGCCCGGGCTCCGCCTCCCGCCCCTCCTCCGCCTCCTCCCTTTCCCCCGACTCGCCCCTTGGGTAGGGGTGGGTGGGTAGGTGGGGATTCTGGGCGGGTGGCGGAGTCACAGTCGCTTCGGCCAGGCTGTGGAGCGGACCGACGCGCCTGGTGCCCCGGGGAGGGGCGCCACCAGGGGAGGAGGAGGTAGAGAGGAAGAGACGCCCTCTCTGCCTGAGACCTCTGGAGGCTCTGACCCCAGAGGACTGACAAGTTCCTCCACCTCGGCTGCCTGAAGAGGCCGCGACCCTGGAGGGCCCTGAGCCCACCACACCAGGGGCCCCAGCACTGTCCGGGTGGCCTAAAGCGACAGTCTCAGGGACCACTGCAAGGTTTCCAGTTGCCTAGACAACGAGCCCGGGGTCACAGCAGCAACCCTTCCGGCCACCTGCCTCCTCTGCTGTCACAGGCACCAGTCCCAGCCCCGTGAGTCCAGCCCAGGTGATATGACGGTGCTTTCTACCTACCGGCCCTCGCGGGTGACCACGCTGAAACGCACAGCTGTGGTCCTGGCCCTCACGGCCTATGGAGCGCACAAAGTCTACCCCCTGGTGCGGCAGTGCCTGGCTCTGGCCAGAAGCCCTCAGGGGTCGGCCGGGGAGTCGGCACAGGAGGTCTCTGGGGCCACAGTGGCTGTGTCGGCCAAGGCCGGCGTCAACCGGGTGTTCTTGCAGCGACTCCTGTGGCTCCTGCGGCTGCTCTTCCCCAGGATCCTGTGCCGGGAGACCGGGCTGCTGGCACTGCACTCAGCCGCCCTAGTGAGCCGGACTTTCCTATCAGTGTATGTGGCCCGCCTGGACGGCCGGCTGGCCCGCTGCATCGTGCGCAAGGACCCCCGGGCCTTCGGCTGGCAGCTCCTGCAGTGGCTCCTCATCGCTCTCCCTGCCACGTTCGTCAACAGTGCCATCCGCTACCTGGAGGGCCAGCTGGCCCTGTCTTTCCGCAGCCGCCTCGTGGCCCACGCTTACAGCCTCTACTTCTCCCAGCAGACCTACTACCGAGTCAGCAACATGGACGGGCGGCTTCGCAACCCAGACCAGTCCCTGACGGAGGATGTGGTGGCCTTCGCTGCCTCTGTGGCCCACCTGTACTCCAACCTGACCAAACCACTCCTGGATGTGGCAGTGACTGCCTACACCCTGCTTCGAGAGGCCCGCTCCCGCGGCGCTGGCACTGCCTGGCCCTCGGCCATCGCTGGCCTTGTGGTGTTCCTCACAGCCAACGTGTTGCGAGCCTTCTCGCCCAAGTTTGGGGAGCTGGTGGCAGAGGAGGCGCGGCGGAAGGGGGAGCTGCGCTACATGCACTCTCGAGTGGTGGCCAACTCTGAGGAGATCGCCTTCTATGGGGGCCACGAGGTGGGGCAGGTTGGGGCGCTGTGGAGTGTGTGGCTGGAGGCTCGGGGGCAGGCGGCCGTAAATGGCCGGGAAAGCCCAGGGCTGGCTGGGGCAGATGCCCGAGGTGTGGGCAGACTACGGGAGAGGGAGGCCAGGGACAGCCAGGGCCTTGGGCAGCCCAGACGGGCACAGTAATGGAGAAGCAGGAAGGCTGGGTGGGGACTGCTCTAGGCCACTTCTGCTTCCTCTTCTCCTCGCTTGTCCTGGCCGTGAGGCTGTGGACCAGAGCTGTTTGAGACCAGAGAGCTCACGGCTTGACTCACTCTTGCAGCCGAGAGGGAGGAAGCCCCTGCCATCTGGGAGCAGGGATGATGGGATGTGGCCTGCTGCCTGGCCCCTCCTGGGCCCCCAGGCCCTTTGAAGGCCAGTGTCCGGCTGAGCTGGCCGGCCGGGCAGGCGGGCATTATGGGCATGACTCAGCCCAAGCTGAGGTTAACAAGCAGCGCCCAGTGTGGTGGCTGCAGCAGTGGCAGAGCTCGGCGCTCCAGGTCAAGGCTTCCCCCTCCTCCGGTGCCCGAGAGCCAGCCTGGCTGCAGGCTCACCCGCCTCCCTGAGGCCCCAGCCAGGGATGCCGGGCAGGCGGGCCCAGG